CACTGCCCGTTTGTGCTCCATTTTTCGTGAGCTAAGTCCTCGTCCGGTCTGCCCTGTATAATGGAAAGAACAGTCGCGACATGGCACTTGATACATGGCGCCAGACTGATCATCTTCCTCCAGTCGTTCATGTGTCTTTGTGTTCAAGTGGTGTACGTTGTGTAAGGCGAGGGGTAGCATATTCGAGGGAGACGTAGACAGTTGTGGATGCGTGCGTGGGCACATTTTGCAGTCGTTAGGAAAGTGAATGACTTTGACAGAGCATGGTGTTGAACGCGCATTGCAATGATCGTTGTCATGTACAAGATAAAGCAATCAAGGGGCCTCTGGAGTACTCTTAATCTGGTCTTCTTTTCCTCTTTAGGTAGCTCTCTTGGACTGTCCAAATTTAAACAGCTATCCGATGACCCCGGAGGTTGAACGTGACATTGAGGTGGCTCGATGCGGTGCCCTGGCCCTCTGGTCCTGCAGCAAATCCGCGCGGTCCAAGGTGGCTATGAAGAAGGCTGGTGTTATTTCGTTGTTGGCGCGTCTTCTCAAGTCTCCCCACGAGGCCATGCTCATTCCAGTGGTGGGAACCTTGGAGGAGTGTGCCAGCGAGGTGAGAGGACCTGTTCATGCTCTTTCTAACCGTTGCGAGGACGTCTCGTGGACCCGGTAACTGGCGGAGTGTGAACGATCGATAATGCGATCCCACGCTAAGGGCAAGTCAAGATAAGCCGAGCACGATAGCCAAGCTTTAAGGAAATCAGCTGCCTACGTCGACCAGATTAAAACAAAAGGCGATGGTTCAAGTGTCACCCATTGATAACGTAAATCACACCAGTTTAAGTGTTGCGCGTAACAATTAATGCATGAACTTAAACAAATAGGGTTAAATGCAAGTTGAGAAACTACGCAACAAATAGAGTGAGCATGAAAAGTTGGGTAAAAATAAAAATATGACAAAGTTGTGGATACATAAAAGTATGGTAAAGGGCTACCACAGACATTCAAACACTGGCACAGGTGTTGAAAGTACTCAAAGCATATAGTAGATGTGCTATCTCGTAGAAAATTCAGATATATGCTTTCGAGAACAACAAACCACTTAAAAATGGTTGTATATTGATCAAAGCGCAACATACTAACTAAATATTTCAATCAAGTCAGGATACCGCCTTTTTAATGGGCTTCCTTTCGGCCGCATCTAAAACCTACACTCTCTAAAAATGTATACTTAAGCGGAATGATTTTTTCTCCTTGATTTTCGATGCCACGGCGAACTGGCAAGGCGGATTTGTTCGCTGTTGTCACTTCGAGTAGACAGTCACAGGTTCACTCTCAGCCGTTCATTGCTATTTGATGTCAGTGAACGGGTGTTAGGCGACTGATATTTCAATTCTAATCTTTCCATTCTGGTAACGCAGTTTCCTTTGCTTCAATCTTGGTCGGAAACGTTGTGTTAAGTATCGTCGATTTCAATTTCAATTTCGCAACTCAATTAGATGATAAGGCTGGATGCCCTCAAGGTACGAAACAGTGGGCTGAACCTACTTTATATGCAATTCAATTTCTGACCATTGAAGTGAATTCCCTCTCACCGTTTGTTTTTGGTCGGTTAAGCCATTTTGGTTTCCTTACCAGCGTCGATATCTTTGTCTTTCAGCAAAGTTACAGGGTGGCCATCAGAACGGAGGGTATGATTGAGGATCTTGTCGCGAATCTCAAAAGTGATAACCAGGAGTTGCAGATGCATTGTGCAGCAACCATATTCAAGGTAAAACATCAAACAACTTCAATAAATTATAATCTTAATGTTCCGTTTCGTGGTTTTTGGAGTAAACCAACAATTTGTTCTTTAAAGTGCGCCGCTGACGCCGAGACACGCGACCTTGTCCGATATCACGGTGGCTTGTCACCTCTGGTTGATCTGCTCTCACAACAAGACAACAAGGAACTTCAGGCTGCTGCAACCGGAGCTGTCTGGAAGTGCGCAATCTCGCCGGAAAATGTCGCTGAGCTGCAGAAACAGGGCATCATCGAGAAACTTGTTAAACTGTTGACCGATCAGCCCGAAGAGGTGCGTTCGCATTTTGTTTACTTAAAACTATGAGGAGGATATGGTAGCGAACAGGGGAGGTTACCCCGATGCGTCCTCTGTTGCCCAATCAGAACATTTTTAGCGTCTAATCAGAAGTTAAGATAATGGTTTAAATGCGTGTCAGATGTGTGTTCTTATTAATATATGGTGGACTTATTAAATTTAGTTTCGCCCTTGAGTTCACGGTTAGAGCTCGCCCAGGCAGTCGCATAGCGACTAATGAGATAGGATGGAATGCATCCGACAAAGCAACTGGAGACGGGAATGGCCATTTCTGGCTTGTTGGCCGTCATCAGCCAGTCATACTCAACCTTAAAGTTTGGAACCCCCGAAATTCGAACCTGGGACATTTGGTCATTGTATTTACCCCTCTACTATTGTACCACGTCATCGCTGCTTCGTCGGTTGAAATCGGGGATATGATAAATATATGGGCATCGCGGATCTGGTGGTGGAACAGTTAAGTTTCGTTTCGCCCTGTGTGAACGTTCTCCCAAAGTACTAATAAAGTTCCCGCTACCGAAGAAATGCATATAGAAAGTAGGAGTAGACAGTCATACTGACGTTGAAAATGTTAATAAACCTCTGTTATTACCTCCTAGGTGTGCAGACCATTCTTGGTCTACTGTTCTCCTTCTACAAGTTCATTTAACTGAATCAATTTGAGTCGGAGGAAGAGTGGCCGTAAGGATTTTCAGTAGTCCACTTACCTGAGCCAATGGTTTTCCAATTAGTTCTACCGAGGGTTACAAAGAGCCATCCACGCCTGCTGTTTTGGAACGCACAACAGATTAACCGTACTCATTTTATTAATTGTTCGGCATGACTGAAATGTAGTCTCCCTACAGCTCTCTGCAATTATTGTTGACCTGTTTGCATTATTTGAGTGGATAGTTACATTTACTTATCGCCATCGGAAATGATGCTTTCGGCAGTAAGTTCTCCACTCGTTGATGAACGTTCACCGACCGCTAATGGGACTCATCTGTCCCGCTGTGCCTTGGTACTCGACAGAGCCCCTGACAGCCGTAACAGCTGGTAGCATAGACCGATAGTATTGCCGTTCGGGTGAAAGTTAATGAAAGAGTGTCAGTATTCCTCGAATTAAACCGGTAAGACAAAGAGCTCGTGGCGCAATGGTTAGGGCGTTTGACTCTGATCAAGGAGGTTGCGAATCCGAAGCTTGGTGTGACACCATTTGAACCTGGGTATGACTGGCTGACGACGGCTAATAAGCCAGAAACGGCCATTCCAGTCTCCTGTGTCTTTGCCGGCAATACTATCTGCGGTAAGTTCTCCGTAGGCATTTCCCTGGACTTCGGTTGTTCAGCAGGCGTTGTGCTATCTACCATCAAAATTTCGAATGATTTAAATGATACCCTCGACAGCATGTTTACTATGTTAATGTTCTTGGGCGGCAGTGTTTCAGCCTAGGTTTGTTTATATACCTCGAAAATGATATATCTGACAGTTCGTTTGGCGGCAGCTTTCACCATAGCGCCACAGAAAAGGAAACAAAGTACTAACTTGATAAGGGAATGTAATGGCAACTTAGGTCTACCGATATGGTTCAGAACTCAGTCATTATGGTATATAGTTATACGGGCAAGATTCAATGCCTAAAAGGACATGCACAATTTAGAAAGATACATATTAATGTGGGATTATATTATAGGAAATAAGTTCTACTGGTATTTTTCTCAGGTGTTTGTGGGTTGATCTTCAATAGGCTGGCTATATTTTAGTCAACCAAATTCCAAAACTGCACTTTATAAATTTGTGCATCAATTTCTGCTTATCTAAACAGATGAAGAATTACCTATACGTAAACTCTGTCTCGGCACGTGTGAAACTCGTTAGCAGGACTGAGAAAGTAATAAATTAACGCTTTGTGATTTTTTTAAGTTTACTATCCGTCATTTTTTGGAAGTTGAATATTTGTTGCTGCCAACGTTGCAAATTATACGTTTATTGATATTAATTTACTTCGTTCCTGATTGGTGAGTTACTTACGGTTCAGATGTTTGTCGCCCGAAGAAACGTAAGCTCATTTGGAAACAGGGAGACGCTTCAATATATTCTAGCTAATCCATTTGAAGAACATTTTATTCAAATTGTGCCTGCTTCTTTTTGCCGAGTGAGTGCATAGCAATGCCACATTCGTCTTAAAGAAAGTCTGAGAGCCAAAGAGGAAGTTGCTCGAATGTCTAAAATAGGTCCGAAACCTCTGTCCAAATCAGAGCTACGCCACAGCGAACTGCAGGCCTAAATCTCTCCCCCATACTTTTTGGATGCAGTTAACCCATTAGACTTGTGTGGGATATGATGTGGTCCAGCCAGATAATAGACGAGAGAACATATCCCAA